GAAGATGGAGCAGATCTAGTCTCTCTTGCTCCAGACTGCAAGACTAGATCTAATGAATGGGAATTACAAGGGAGTCGTTACCGGCTAAATATCAGCAGAAACGTCCTAACTGTAAGAGTAGTTGAACAGTGGAACAGTCTGCCATGGGAAGTGGTAGAGGCTCCTTCACTGGACGTTTTCAAGGGGAGGCTGGATGACCAGGGGTCATTTCCTGCAGGAGCGCACAGGAGCGGAGCTCCGGCAGTAAAGAGCCCAGGGGGCAGGCACATGCAACAAGCCCCACCCCCTGCTCCCAGCAGCCCTCAGTCAGAGCAAGAAGCAGCCAGGTACGTTGCAGAGCCCCCTCCCGGCCCCCCGGTCCAAAACAGTCCAGTGGCACCTTTCAGACCAAGTTTTATTCAGGTACAAGCTCTCCCTCCTCTGCGGAGGACAGATCTGCACGTCCCCCCCCCCCAATAGCTAGCAATCCAAAACAGTCCAGTGGAGCCTGAGCGGTGGGTGTTGCTTTCGGACACACTTCCGGTGGTGTCAGGGGGTGTGGCATATGCAAATAAGTTATGCTAATGAGTTGTGCTAATGAGCTCCTGCACCTCTTTTTCTATGAAATGACCCCTGTGGACGACCATCTTTCGGGTATGTTGTAGGGCTATCTTTCGGCTATGCTCCTGCTGAGTGCAGGGGGCTGGACTAGATAACCCTTCCAACTCTAACATTCTATGATTCTATGACCTCTTTTCCTCTCACACTGTTGCTGTAGGGGGACATCCCTTCTGCTCCAGAGGAATCCTATATATCAAAGCAAGGAAACCACCCCATCCTGCCCCGCCCCCTCCAATTTCTGGAGGGTGCCATGCCCTCCCACTTCCTCCCACCAGCTGCTCAGTTTATACAATAAAGTTTATTGAAATTTTAGTAAAGTTGTTAACATTACAAACCTAAAAGCTTTCAAAAAGTTATAATGATACACAGATAGAGTAGCAAATACTCTGCGTTGTAGTGACAATAACAGCTGTAGCAAGAAAGCAAGAGATATAAGGTACCATCTATCAACGTAACGTAAGGTTAACATATACGAAGGCTAACACTAGTAGTCAACTAGAATACATTGATAAGCATTACCATAACCATAGGTCATCAGTTACTTTGGGGATATCCTGTTGGTTGGAGAGTTATTCTAAGATAGGAAACCACGTTGAAACAGAAGTTGTAGGGGCAGGAATCTTATCAAAACGCGTAGCTTTATCTAAGAGTTTAGCCATGATATACAAATCCCACAGCTTTTTATGCCATTGTAAAAGTGTGGGTGTCATTGTCGTTTTCGAGTGTGTGGCAATCATAGCAGCTGCTCAGTTTAGAGGTCCTGAATGAGTGGAACAGGACTCTCATCCGAGGCCTGGCCTCAAGGTCTCCTGCTACCCAGCGCCTGGTTCCCACAGGCCACAAATGCAGTTTCAGTTTTCCCCTGGAGGGTTGGCAACAGGTGCCTTGACTGCTTCCCTCCCAATCTGGGAAACTAATAACATATCCAAGCAATTGGAGGACTATGCGGTACAGAGACTTAGGGCCACATCCAATATTAAAAAGGATTTATTTAAAAGAAAGTTAAGTTCAATCCCACTTAATCACAACAACAGATCAGCACATGAAAGAACAAAGAAAAGTTGGTTATACATGTATCCGTCTTTCCCTGGTTCTAAAACTTACTTGAACTGGATGTTGAAAGAGAGTTGTTGTTGTTCAGTCGCACAGTCGACTCTGACTCTTCCCGACCCCATGGACCAGATCCCGCCAGGTAGCTACGTGCAAACTTAGAAAGTTGCCAAAGGTTCTAAAGATGTCCCATCATCTCAGGCTTCCTGCAGCCAGCAGGCCAGGCCGCATGGCCAAGATGGCTGTCTGTTCACTTCCAAGGACCTGCACCAACAGACCCTCCTTCATTTGATCAGGCACTTTTATTAAACCTCTGACTCCACACATTTTACATCACTCTCTCCACCTCTTTTGACCTGGTCCGCCTAGCTCACGTGGCTGGACCGTGGGAAACCCAGGTGCATCCTGGTGCATGCAGGTAAATTCTGGGAGCCCTCGTGGAAGGCATTCTGGGAAATCTCCAAGAGTAACCTGGAGATTCGTAACACCAAATACCTCAGGAACCTGGCAAGTCGAGTCATTGGCAAAACGATGGCTGGTAATTGGCCTCGTTTCCTGTCCTTCCAGAGAGAAGAGGGGGGGGAAGTACACTTTAAAAACTCAGGGGGGAGTTCTCCACACTTTGAAGAAGGCTACTCTGACTGAATCTTTTTCCACACTCTGAGCATTCAAAAAGTTTGTCCTCTGTGTGGAGTTTGTTTGATGCTTTTGAATACTGCCACTGTGACTGAATCTCTTTCGGCCCTCAGGGAGTTCAAAATGGTTCTTCCTTGTGTGGGTTGTCAGATGCTTTTGAAGATAGCCACTGAATTTGAATCTCTTTCCACACTCTGAGCATTCAAAACGTTTCTCCCTTTGTGGGTTCTTTTATGCTGGTGAAGAGCACCACCCTGAGTGAACCTCTTTCCACACACTGAGCATTCAAAAGGTTTCTCCCCTGTGTGGGTTCTTTTATGGTCTTGAAGATGGGTACTGCAGATGAAACTCTTTCCACACTCTGAGCATTCATAAGGTTTCTCCCCTGTGTGAGTTCTTTTATGCCTTTGGAGACCACCAGTCCAACTGAATCTCTTCCCACACTCTGTGCATTGAAAAGGTTTCTCCCCTGTGTGAGTTCTTTGATGACTTCGAAGACTGCCATTCCGACTGAATCTCTTTCCACACTCTGAACATTCAAACGGTTTCTCCCCTGTGTGGGTTCTTTGATGATCTTGAAGACTTGCATTCTGACAGAATCTCTTTCCACACTCTTGGCATTCAAACGGTTTCTCCCCTGTGTGGGTTCTTTGATGATACCGAAGACTTGCATTATGAGTGAATCTCTTTCCACACTCTGAGCATTCGAACGGTTTTTCTCCTGTGTGGGTTCTTTGATGATATTGAAGACTGCCATGTGAATGGAATCTTTTTCCATACTCTGAGTATTCAAAAGTTTTCTCCTTTGAGTGGGTTCTTTGATGATATTGAAGATAGCGATTTGTACTGAATCTCTTTCCACACTCTGAGCATTCAAAAGGTTTCTCCCCTGTGTGGCTTCTTTTATGTTCTTGAAGATGGCTACTCTGACTGAATCTCCTTCCACACTCTGAACATTCAAAAGGTTTGTCCCCTGTGTGGATTCGTCGATGATATTGAAGATGGCTATGCGTGTTGAATTTCTTTCCACACTCTGAGCATTCAAATGGTTTCTCCCCTGTGTGGTTTCTTTTATGCACTTGTAGATGACTACGCGCACTGAATGTCTTTCCACATTCTGAGCATTCAAAAGGCTTCTCCCCTGTGTGGGTTCTTTTATGGTCTTGAAGATGGCTACTGCAACTGAATCTCTTTCCACACTGTGTGCATTGGAAAGGTTTCTTCTCTATGTGAGTTCTTTGGTGCAGTTGAAGATAGCGACTCGTACGGAATCTCCTACCACACTCTGAGCATTCAAATGGTTTCTCCCCTGTGTGGGTTCTTCGATGATATTGAAGACTGCTATTCTGACTGAATCTCTTTCCACACTCTGAACATTCAAATGGTTTCTCCCCTGTGTGGGTTCTTTTATGGTCTTGAAGATGAGTACTGCTGATGAATCTCTTTCCACACTCAGAGCATTCATAAGGTTTCTCCCCTGTGTGGGTTCTTTTATGCCTTTGAAGACTGCTACTCTGATTGAATCTCTTCCCACACTCTGAACATTCAAATGGTTTCTCCCCTGTGTGGGTTCTTTTATGGTCTTGAAGATGAGTACTGCTGATGAATCTCTTTCCACACTCAGAGCATTCATAAGGTTTCTCCCCTGTGTGAGTTCTTTTATGCCTTTGAAGACTGCTACTCTGACTGAATCTCTTCCCACACTCTGAACATTCAAATGGTTTCTCCCCTGTGTGGGTTCTTCGATGATATTGAAGACTGCCATTCCGACTGAATCTCTTTCCACACTCCGAACATTGAAACGGTTTCTCCCCTGTGTGGGTTCTTTTATGGTCTTGAAGATGGGTACTGCAGATGAATGTCTTTCCACACTCTGGGCATTGAAATGGTTTCTCTCCTGTGTGGGTTCTTTTATACCATTGAAGATTGCCCTTCAAACTGAATTGCTTTTCACACTCTGGGTATTCAAAAATTTTCTCTCCTCTTTGTTTTCTTTGGTTCACAAGAAGCTGTGATCTATATCTACACTGAATAGATTTACTTGTCTTCATTATATTGTGCTTTGGGAAATGTACACTATGTTTCCTTCCATCTCTCTTCTCAACCAAACGGCTGACTTGCTTTCTCTTAGGGCTGCCTCGATTCCAGATGCTTCCTTTCAGTTCTTCATTATTAACTTTATCTGGCAATTGCAGCTGAAGTTCCTCGCCCTCCTCATTCCTCTGATCGTCCTCTGCTGGAATGAAGAGAGAGGAAACATTAGCACCTGGGAGGGCAGATAAGGTCCAAAGGCCTCCTCCTGCTTGGCTGACCTTTAACTAACCCCTCCACTTTCCCCCAAAATATCCGGGATTTAAGGATACCACAGCCTTTCAAGAACCACAGCTGACCTCTTGCCCAGAAGGAGCTTCCAAGTCTCCAGATTCCAGGCCCCAGAACGCCTCCCTCCTGTACTGCCCCGCGGGTGTTATAATTTTACCAAACTAAGAGGCCCTTAGAAGTGAAACAGGAAAGTCCCGTGGGCATGCCATGACCATTTCCTTGACATAACTCTGAAGGGATACCCAGCTCACTTGGGAAGGAAATCCTTTCTTGAGATCCTCTTAAGGAACACTCCAGTCTTTCTTCAGATGCAAGGCTGTTGTCTGTCTCCACCATGGTCTCTGTTATCATTCTGGCTTCTTTCGCACAGAGAGAGACAGAGAGAAAGTGATCATTCTTATATGGGAAGGGACCCGTATCCAAGCAAGAGTAAAAATTATCCTGGGTGGGCAGAAACGTGGTCAAGATTAAAGCCAAAAATCCCAACCCATATAAGGGGGACAGATGACGTTCATAGAAATACCTGGGTGTAGTTTTACAGGCCTACAGTTCTAGGATTAAGCACAGCAAATATGTTGCCGATCTAGGGGAAAGATCCGCAAATGCCATACTGACATTTTTTCAAACTCATGGTGGACACTTTGTTCCTGCAGCCCTGAAGTTATATAAGGCCAAAACATTGGCACAGCTGCTCTATGGAACATTCTTAGGACCACCTTCCTCATGCTTTACGCCGCAAGAAAGAGTTCAGCCCAAATTTTTAAGAGCTGTTTTGCTAGTGCCTAACTGTGTATCCAATGCTTGGATACGACTGGAGTCTCGGAATCTTAGAATTGAAGCTAGGGTATGTGGCCGAAGGGTCATTTCAATCCACAAGGCTTGCTTCTCCTGATATCCCAGGATGATTTCCAATCCAGTTGGATCAAGGCAGTTCACTATCATATTCACAGAACTGGCTTCTCACCTCAGCTTCTCTTATCCTATGGATTTGAAAAGGTCTTATTGAACAAAGAGTTGAAGATACTGAGCGACAATCTGACATCTCTAAGGCTTCCAAACTTGGGGTGTTGTTAAATATCAAAAGCACCATTGAGCCGGCAATATATTTGACTTCAGTGGAGGGAAAGAATTCTAGAAGGGCATGTGCCCTAGCTAGATGTTCTGCCCTTCCATCTGCGGTTATTCAAGGCAGGTACAACAAAAACCCTATTCTGAAAGGCTATGCCCATGCCTTTTAAGCGAGATTGAATCGGTAGAACATATGTTCTTCAG